AAAACTGGGAAAACTGTATCCCATGTGTTTATTCCTGTTTGTTTGCAGGGACTATCAGACATGGCTAGCACCTACGAGAGCTGAAACCAAAACTCGGGCGGCGTTACATCAAACCCCACGAGAGTGATGACAGCCGCTGCAAATGTTTGCCCCGTGAACATAACTCTGCTTACCCTGCTCATCTTGTGCCTCCTCCCTGCTGCGCCGGCCTCTGACGATGAGGAGGGCAGGGAGATGCTGATGTGCAAGGCCTCAAAACTGAGAGGGTCAGCATCCTTCCTTTAGGAGCTGTGTGTGTGTGTGTGTGTGTGTGTGTGTGTGTGTGTGTGTGTGAGAAAATAAGAACTTGAATGACCCTAGACTGGTCTGACTGTTTCTGAGGAAATTAGACTTTCATCCAAGTTAGGGTTACTGTGACACTGATGTTTAATTATTGGATGTTCTTGCAATGAGACCAACAGCAACAGACTTGTTGAAAACCTACAGAGAAAGTTGGCCTGTTTTTCCACTTCTAAATGATTGTTCTGAAGAAGACATTTGGAAAAATATGCACTCATTGAAAACAATATATTTAAAGCTAATCCATCCTCTAAATAAATGTCCAAAATATCAGCATTGAGCTTGTGAGGTACCACTCTTCCACTAAAATTGGCAGCCACCATATCTCGAAGAAATTGCTGCTTCCTGTGGGAACTGGGAATTAATCATTGTACTGGAAGTGTAATAAATAAATAAATAAGTGACAGACTTTAAACCATGTTCTTTTTTCACAAATAAGTATTAAACAGTGTGTGTGTGTGTGTTTGGTGAGCACACAAGTAGTTTCTATGTGTTACCTGTAAGTATACATGGCTGAGACTCTTGTCCACGCTGTAGCGTTTCCTCATCTTAACTTGCAACAGGTTGTTGATCAAGTCGATTGCTGGGAGCACAAAAATATACAGATTGAGCTATAAAAAAATTGACTGGTTACAGTAAAAAGAACATCAAGTTACTACAAATATGCCTTAACATGCCAGTTATATTTCTGCTCATAGCAATGAGGAAGCGTGTTTAATATCACTTTATCATGATGATGCAGATGAAAACCCATCTTGTAGTGGGGGGCTTATCAAGGATCAGAACAATATTACAAAATGTATTGTGAAATATAAACATTTGAATGTTGTAATGGCTTGTCATGCTTTGACTTTTCATGTTAACCTTCCTCAAATCTTCTGTTGCCAGTTTATTAGGTACACGTAGCTAAAAGTAATTCAGTCTAATACAACAGTCCTGCAATAACCCCCCCCCCCCCATGAAAGCTATAATGTTTCCTCAATGATATAAATGTGGTGGACAAAATAACAGAAACAATACAGTTCAACAGCAGTGCAAACTACTTCCTCTAAAATGATGAATGTGTGTGTCTAACAAAAAAACTATCCTCTCCTCCCCCCCGCTCTGTGTTTACCATCGCTGGAGATCTGTTTCCAGGGGTTGGGAGGGTACATGAAAGCTGCGTTGTGGATCTGGTCGTTGATGTCTTCATCCTCATTAAACGGGAATGTCCCACTCAGGCTGACGTACATAATGACACCGACTGACCACATGTCCAGTGAGCGGTTGTAGCCCTGGTTCAGCAGAACCTCCGGGGCCAAGTAGGCAGGGGTGCCAACCACAGAGCGTCGGAAAGACTTCTCGCCGATGATACGGGCAAAACCAAAGTCACACAACTTGACCTGAGAGAGGGAAACAGTGGGGAACAGTAGGCACCGAGTCAGGTTGTCAATTGAAAACAGGACTACTCAAAACCTATATGTGGCTATCTGGTTCAAGCCAGTCATTCAGTAAGTCAGGGACAGACTTTTACAATTATATCGAGCAAGAAAGGGAAGTGGTGAAACACCAGAGACGTAGTTGAGAAAGTAAACGGATATCAGGACACACATCTGAGTAACTGCATTGCAGTTGCTTTGACGTAGTGTGAAAACCATAACTGCTGCATATGAGAGTGGGTTTCAGTTTTTGTATGTGTGTGTGTGTTTGCATACCTGGGGGAAGGGATCAGCAGAGGCAAGCAGCACATTCTCAGGTTTCAGATCGCAGTGAACGATGTTTTTAAAGTGCAGATGTCTCAGTGCTGCAAGAATCTGCGCATTGAAACAAGCACAAACACAATACACGCAAAACAACAAAAACAGGATATGAATTAGTGCAAACCAACCTTAAATACATGACGACACCCACCCTGTACTTTATAAGTTATGATGCATTACAGGCAGACCAAAAAAAACACAGCATCACTTTGCATGTCATGGCATAAATCTACATAACAACAACAACAACAAATCCCTTCTTTGCTGGGGCACATACACACCTGTGTGATGAGGAACTTAGTGAGCCTCTCAGGCAATCTGCCTTTCTCACTGGAGAGGATCATCTCAAGCATGTCACCATGTAGCTTCTCCATCACCACAAACACTTTCTCTGGGGTCTCAAACATACACTCCAGGTTCACAATGCCCAGGTGACGTAAACTCTGAGAGAGTGATCGGAGAGGAGGGGAGAAGCAAGGGGAAATAGGATGATGTAGAAATTGGGATTTGTGTGAAAAAGAAGGGGAGGATGAAATAGCAAGCAAAAGAGGAGAGAGTGGTGAAAAGAAGTATTGACGGAGACAGAGTGAGAATTGGAGGAGCAGATTGAAGAGTGTGAGAAAAAGGAACAGGATGCCAGAGAATGGGGTGAGTAAAATAAGAAAAAGACACAGACAGAAAGACAGACAAACAGACAGACAGACAGTGTCAGCAAATACAGTACATAAACCACAGGAGGGATAGCATAAAATTGATTATTACGTGGTTATGCTACAAAAATGCCATGAAATGTGCTCCAAAAGGTGTTTTTTTACCACTCATATGACTTAGACAAGTGTCATTTTTAAAAACATATTTCCCTTGAAACCTGGGGAATGTGGCAGAACCTTTTTAGTCTGAAAGGCCAAGTGACAAACTGTAGAGCTGAAGGAGAAGTCACCAAATTTAGACAGCCTATTGCACCTCTGTCCCCATCTGCTGGTAAACAATGTAATGTGCATTTAGAAATCTAGTAGATTGAGAAAGTTAAATTGAACAACAAAAATGTAATTATGATGTAGACTGAGCTGGTGATGCCCTCCATTCTCACAAAACATATTTGGCGTGCAAGTGAACACATAAAATGACAATATCCTTACCAGACACACACATTGCACACATTTTTCTGTTTTTTCTGTTTTCTGTCAATTCATTAAACAAATGCATGCATACTACAAGTAAGTGCCTGAGAAATAATGTTCCATTAATACACTCCTTTAACTGAAATACTTTCACTTTCCCATTTTTTTCTCCAATGTGCACATTCTTTTTATTTATACTGTTTTAAAACTCTCTCAAATTTAGACACTTTAATTTAAGCAACACTATGTTTACTTGTTCTTGATGAGTAGTTTAGTTTACAATACTACTAGTACTATGAAAATTTTATTTGAATTTGGATTTCCTCATATCTTTACACAATAGTAAAAAAAAAAAAAGTGAATATACAAAAAGTGAGTAATGAAGCGTAATTTAAGAGTTCCTTTGTGTAAACATACTGGAAGTAATTGAGAAATTGTGTTGCCAAACGGCAACTGGATTATAACTTGTTTTAGGGAGAGCAATTCATGAAAATATCATACACAAAATACGTATTACAAATGACTGTGGTTGATGATTTCCCTTTATTTCCCCTTTAAATAATGATGAATAAGTAAAATAAGTATGTGTGTGGTTTTCACTTCCTTTTAAAACTTCCAAACCATAGATTGGTTAGGTGGTCAGACACTGAATCATCTGTTCCTAAGAAGTAAACATAAAGGAAAATGTGTGTGCCTGCTTTTAGAAGTGGTTCTTAACCAGATTTATGCTGGGTTATTAATACCATTGACAGTATATGATTAATACTGACACTCACAGTCCAATTGAGTCAGACCTTATCAATGCCACAGTGAATACCAATATTGAGTATATATAGAAAAGCAGCTGTGACTATGTCAGAACTGTGTTACCTGCAGTATGGCCACCTCATTCCTCAACTGGCTCTCCTGCTTGGTGGGAAAGCGAAGCTTGTCAATGACTTTGACAGCTACGTCCCTCCCTGTCTTCCTGTGCTTTCCTGATAAAGAAACAGACTGTTAGTAACATATGTGGTTATTAACTGAACTTCACATACAGCGCATGTAGTCATATATTGGACCTTGTTATCTACTTTGCATGTACAATTTTACTCCACTGATTTAACGTTTGACTCTTTGTCGGACTAACGATGGACAGTAAGAAAAAAGAAAGCTCAAAATTCATGCTGCATTGTTCTTCCCTGGAACCTAGCGTACATTACCCACAATGCAACTCCAGTGCTGACAGTTTTGCCAGACATTCAGACATGTTATGTTACATAGCAACACACTTTGATGTTGGCATGAGTTCCCCTTTAAAGACACATACTGTGTGGCACACAAACATCACAAATATATGAGTATAGTCGATGTTATGGGGGTGTTGTGATGTACTGTCCTATACATCACTTTAACCTACTCATTTTGACCTTCCTAAAGCACAGCGATCTAGACATAGATCAGCATCACTGAACATAGACATACATACCTCCATACACTACTCCAAACTGCCCAGATCCCAGCACTTCATCAGCAAAAATCTGGTACACTGTACCAATATCCTGCAGGACAGCAATATTTCATACACTCATCATCAGCCTACATCTATAATTCATTTAAAGATTGAAATAAATTGACAAGAATTGTCAAAAATTCTTACCACATTTTCTTGGATTTGACTGTTGGACACAGATATGCTGATAGAGGCTTGTCCTGAAAATACAGCACCAGGAACGATGTACAGGTTATACAGTATAGTAAGTTCTAAATGATATACCATTTAATAAGCACAACTTGTCAACATCTAATATCTGATACTGTGTCGTCCTCTCTCTAGCACTAAAAGGAAAACTTTGCCTAGACTCAGCTCGACATACAAACCGGTGAAAACAACTCAGTGGAAGATTCTACTCTTTATTTAACCAGTGTGTTTTGCTACAGGGCTTTCATCTGGGTGACAAAGAGTAGACTCTTCCAGTTAGTCAGCTAGAGTCGGCAAGTTGTTTTTCTCACATTTGGTCTGTTGTTACTTCAACACCTAGTTGACTGGTGACAGGCTGCAATGTGCCAATTAGTAAATATAATAAACTACCACCACCTGCATTTGGCTTTTCTCAACTTACTGTGAGTTGTGTTCCCGGCAGCTGGGGGTGCGTCTTGAAAGATGACCGGCATGAGGGCCTGCCGAATGGCGCTCTCCCATGCCTTGGCCACCTCACGCCCAATGCCACTGTTGGGAGCTACTTGGCTGGGGGAGGGAGGGGTCGGGGGGAGAGTCTGGGGGTTGCTTGGGGGCAAAGAGGGGAGGGTGTTGGGGTCCTCCCCTACAAAGTAGCACATAGTGCCTGTAATGAGCTCGAAGCAGTGAGGATTTGTGCCCGGTGGGACAAGAGTGAAGTTACCAGCAGGACGCACCTCCAGGATCTCGGACAGAGGGATCTCCTGCAAGAGGATGAATCAGTGATGCAACAACGAAAAAATGGTTGCACAGATGAGTTGAGATCATTGCGTTTTTTATGGAGTAAACTATATTTACCTTGTAGTATTTGTTGGAGGTGTTGTTCTGGAAAAGGATGATGCACTTACAGTCCAGACGCCAGTAGTGCCTCTTTCTCTGTTGGGAGTTGGATTAGGGTGGGATGAGGAGGGGCAACGAAGGTATGGTAGGACATCGAGGGGTTGGGATAGAGGGAGGACACAAGATGAGAAATGGGGCAAGGATCGGGGCAAAGTTCAGGGATCAACATGAATGCATTTCAAATTTGTGGTTGACGTCCAGAGGAAGAGAAGACTGGCCAGATGAGAAGAAGGAAGAGCAGGAGTACAAGCTGCAGGATGAGAAGGTGGAAACAGAGAAAAAGAGACAAAGGTGAAAGAAAGAAATGGCAAGTGCAAGTGAAGCCATAGAGGAAAAACAAGCAAGAACAAGACTGGAGAGGCAGAAAAGTTTCTTTGAGGTCAAAAATAGGGAATAAGAATAAGAAAAGGCAGAAAACAGGCTTTTAGCTTGAGTTCATCACACATCTGCTGAGTGCTGTTATGTTTTCAGGGAGAGTTAGCCTCATCATCAATCTTCAACTATTTTTTCATCCTTACACAAGCACACTCACACACACACACACACATAACACACATAAAGGAAAAAGGAAACAATTTAGAGAGACCAAATGAACAAGGTCGAAACTGGTGGAGAGAGAAAACAGACTGATGACCAGAAGATCCTTTTTGTCTGAGTGGAAAGCAAACAAAAAAAAAATCTTGCTGCAGTGAATCATAAAAAAGAAAGTGAATAAATTGACTTCAATCTGTATGTTCAGCTTCTTCAACAATAACAAATGTACTTTTCAGTAGAACTGCAGACTGGTTTAGATACCCAGAGAGAGGGTAGCGCAGCAATTACTGCACAGGTAATGTTTTTTACCAGTGTGTCCTTATTGCTGTAGTGAACCATCCATCCTTCCTTGATAGCAGTACTGGATCGACGGGTTGTCTGTCTCACAGACTGTACCACCCTCATAAGTGGGATGTAAACACTAGAAGAAGAAAGAAGAAAGACAGAAATTAGGTAGTCAGTAGGTATGATGTGTGTTTGAATTTGTGATATTTTCTAGCTGGTGTTAACTGTAACATTCCTCTAGGGACTTGTTAGTAAGTTGTCTCCAAATGTTTGTGTTTTCCTCAAACCTCTGATCTCCGCTGGTTCCATCCTGGTTGTTGTCAGGAGAAAAGGACCCAGGGATGCTGCAGGCCTCGTCCGAGTCATCTATCGAAGACTTATCTGAGGCATCGTAGTCAGTACTGTAGTCCATGGGAACCTCAGGGTCTGCACTGGGACTCAACATGTCTGGGTCAAAAAAGAGGGAGGGAAGGAGTTGAGTGCAACTTGATTTGAAGTGACTATGTGTTTAAAATGCTGTGGAAAAAATACTACTATTTTCTACTGCTATGACTACTTCTAAGACCGCTATCAGAAGAGTACAGCTTTACATGCATCAGTACCGAGTACGGATAATACTTACCACAGTTACTTCTGTTGTCTGAGAAAATAAAAACATTAGTGCCAGTGAGTCAGTTAGCCAGTTCAGTCTTGTTAGATAATGTGTTAAATCATGATATTGTTATTAAAGAAACCTAGTTCTGATGATGGAAACAAGCAGATGAGAAATGTATATTTCTATCAAATCCATGCAAGGTTAACAGAGTCATAAACACATTAAAAAGGTAATAGATTTATAATCTTTCCTCACCTCCAATGGTTTCCCCGAGGCAGTCATTAGGAACCTTGTACGCACAGCGTTTATGGCAGTTGAACTTGCAGTCTGAGAGGAACAAAACACAATTCATTCTGATTGTATCACATGTAATCTGATTTAATTTAACTACTGCATTACACTGGACGTCCAGAAATGAGGCCTCTTTGTCTGTGCTCACCTTTGCACTGAAGGCCCTGCCTGAACAGTCCTCGAAGAAGCCTCTTGCAGTACTGGCACACCGTCGGTCTTGTGTAAGAGTGGACAGCAAATGTGTGGGGCACTTTCACCTTACTCATCAGGATCTTGTCTAGATGAACAGGTCGGCCCGTGTAGAAGCGCCGGGCGTCACTAGGAGTCCGTGGCTAGCAGAACGGACAGGGAGCATTATTAATGAAATGTATAGTATTTGAATAAATTAAATAATACAAACACTATTATCTAACTTTGGCAACAACATAAATACTACCAAACTAATTAACTAATGTAGGCTATCCTGCAATAGCACATTTTTGGCCATTTGGGGGCAGCAAAATACAGATTGTGAACACAGCAATAGCGCAACATTATCAATCATCTGGAGTCATATTTGCGTCTACCTGACAAGTCCAATATTTACTTTATTTTGTCTCTACCAACTCCTGAGGGAAATATCTGGCTCTTAAGTGTTTCACTACATGATCACCAGCTAGTTGCTAACTATTTCTGTCTGTTGTTTGGTGCTGGGCAATTAGTGTACAGCTGAACCAAAATAGTAAAGTTGCAAGCAGAACAGCAAAATGATGAGCTGAAACTCCCTATAAAGCTCCATAAAGCAGTGGGAAAGTGCATTCAGGTGATAATCTTCTGCAGGTTCATCACTTCAAGCATTTTCATTTAATTCATTGTCAGTACAGAATATTTTTTTTTTTATTATAGCCACTTCAAGTTTCCTCTCTAATTAGATGGCTTCTCTACATCTTCTGTTTTTTAATTACAGAATATCAAAAGGGGAAATAAATCAGCGATAATGTATTTTGCCTTGATTGAGCTAATTAGTTTACTTGAAGGGTTCACCCACATTACAGTGGCTGCATACCACTTCTTGTGGAATGCAGTCATACAGGTAGTTTTGGTTTCATTTGCAGAGGTTTTCAGATATTCATCTTAAAAACCTTGTATGCCTCACTGGTAAACTGGTGAAGCTGGTAAGTCTCAGGATTATTCTGAGTAACCGGGACATTTTTCTGGAAAATTTGTGAAAGTTGCTTTTTCACTGCCATCACATATTTACATATTACTTTGTGACTGAACTGAATTAAAGTGGGTTTAACCAATTTGTGACATAAAACAAATCTGCTTGTTGTTCTCCTTTGGAAAGCCTCTTCATTTCAATAGTCTGAAACTGATCATAACATTGTGTGCAAGAATCCACCAGTACCATTTGTGTGTGAGAGCGGATGAGGTTGGTGTCCTCTGTGCAGGTGGAAGCCGTCCCTACACTGTACACTGACTCAGTGGTGGAGAGACGCAAGGACTGGCTGCTGCTCAGTGAGGTGGTGGACAGACGCCGTTTACGAGCTCCACTGCAGTTGTTTGGGATGCTGAATGCACAGCGCTTGTGGTAGTTTAGTCCACATCCTGCAGGGGGAGGCATGGATCAAAGAACCATGAGGAGGTCAATTGAACAGAAGAGGGAGGTGGGAGGGATGGAGCAGTGAGTGTTATAATCAAATTATCAAAGATGTTTGTGAACCACATCAAAGTGTATTTTCTTATTCACACTTGATCTTCCTGTTTTCCTCACCGTCACACTTGAGCCCTTGTCGGACCAGTCCAAACAGCATCTCTCCACAGTGATCACAGAAGGCTGGGGCCCTGTATGAGTGCACATTGAGTGCGTGGGGCCGGATCTGGAAATCTTCAAATGTGGCTGCCGCTAAAAGGGATAAAAGCGATAGAGCGTGGTCAAGATACAATCATACTACTGTAACTGGGCAGAATAAAAAATGATTAGATGGATATGATGGAAAAAGGATGGAAAAATAGATGGGGCTTCCTTCTGATGTGGAAACATTACAGTTTAAAACAATGAAAGAAGAGATTAGGCCAGCGTAAGATAAGTGGTAGTAAAATAAGCAGATAAGGACTGATTTCCCGAGTTGTGATTCAGATTAACAACAGTAATGAAAGGGAGATAGCACAGGAAAGAAGGAAGGTCATTTAGATTTTAATATTGCTATCTTGTACCCTAATGGCAAAAGATAGCAATATTAAAAAAGAAGATAGCTGATTACTGAAGATAGCTGATTACTTACCAGAGAGCACCACTTCCACCAGATCTCCCTCCTGTATGTCACTGGCACCTTTAACCAGTTGCAGGATGTTGTTGGTGGACGTGTCATGCTTGAACAGCAAAATCTTGTCATAAATGCCATAGAAGCCGCACTCAGGGAACTAGAATATACAAAGAAAACATAATAGAAACAGGTTAGGAGGATCAACTGTAGAAAAGGCAGGATTTTGTTGAAAGACGTACTGGCAGTTTGTAATATCCCAAAACAAAATACTGCAATATGATATTTTCTTACACCACTAATGCAAAAGAAAGCACTACAGTACATTTCAGTAGCATAGACCTTGACTCTGATAACTGTGCCACCAGTCTACTGTCTGTATAAACTCAACAGGCCGTCTTCATAATCAAACAGGTGAAAGTACTTATTACAGGTTGGTCTTTTTCAACATTCACTACACTGAAAAATCTACACCAAACATCTTAAACATTCACTGCTCTGCCATTTTCAGTGACGACAACAACATTTGCTATAACGTGTCGAAACATCACACGCTGTACTATGGACATCGTAGTCTATGTGTGCATAACACTGGTATGTCCTTAATTGTACCATGCCCTTCTATATAAAGCCCCTGGAATATACAGCAGCCAAAAGACACAAGGAAACTAAAAAGAAAACTTTATTCCCTGAACACACACACACACACACACACACACACACACACACACACACAGGCCTGTCAAAATAGCTACCTATGTTGGACAACATATTGCCCCAGAAATAATTGCAAAACAATATCATCATTTTAAGACCATTTTATCCCACTGATACAATCATGCAAGTACAATCTTTCAGAAAGTAATGTACGTTTAATTCTTAAGAATATTCAGACATTGGAGTTGTAATGTAAAAACAATATGATAAAATATCCTTCATAAGTAAAACACGAAGAAAACACACAACCAAAACATTAAATAAAATGGTCTCTTGGGCTTGAAAAACCATTTTCACTTCTGTTTCAGGGCTTCCGTAGTGGTAGGCTAAAGAGTCATTCATACCTTAACAGGCAATAAAGTAATGGTAGGGACCCCCCACAGACAAACACAAACAACCACACACACACACAAGTGTAACCACTGATATACTAGACACGCTGGCTGAATTCCACAAATCAAGCAACTTGGTCAATGTGGAAAGCAAGACAAAGGAGAAACCTTATCCTATCTTCCTATCAGTCATATACATTGTACACAAACACACACACACCACACACACACACAAAGAAACAGACACACAGGTGTTTCCATGAAGCTCTTCCAGAGATATGAGAGATGAGTGTGTCAGTCAGGAATCAACAGAGCAAAGGAGTCTGTCATAGGGAAACCCTGCTCTCCTGAATAGTTAATACTGCCTGGTTCACTTCAGTGGCCACACCACACAGGACACCACAAGTACACAGGTACACAGCGAGACATGGGTTAGAGGAAAAGACATGACCAAAAGAAGAAACAAGAGAAACAAAATAGTTGTTAACCCCTTTACTCACACAAACACACACTCCTCCCTGTCTCTCTTGTTGTCTTTCCCAAGGTGGAGTCAAGATTCACCATCTGGCCAGGCTTTAACAACTTACAGGAAGGGGAACCCTGGTCTCCACCTTGGAACGACACAATGACACACATACACCTCCTCCTCACTTACCAACAGACACACCCTCCTTACAAACAGAAACACACAACCTCTCTTACCCCCATTTCCCTTCTTCCCTCTTAAATACACACACAATACACACAATACACACACCCACACACACCCACACACACACACACACACACACACACACACAGTCTCCCCCTCAGTTTCCCAACAGGCACTCCACATCACCACATCTGAAATTCAGGCCTGGCTTGTACCGCAGCCAAGCTACACAGTGACTCCACCACGCCCCAGCAGTGTGCCACTGCTACTGACCACACAGTCAACAATGAGACACAAACAGCACACAGTCGCCTTTTTTTTTTTTTTTTTTATAAAACCGCACAAGATCCTCAACCTGTTTGACAAACACAGCCATACAGCATATTACAGACACAAGGTTAGGCCAAAAAAGATAACAACAAGGAGGTGTAATACAAACCTTGGCAGCGAAGAGGTGTGAAAGATCAAATCAATGCTGTGTAACCATTCAAATAATTGTTCTGTTGCATGCATATTATGGAAAGTTGATCCACAAACATGACAATAGAATACACAGAATAGCCAGTGAAAGAGCACAGAATTGAATAGAAGGCCAAGAGTTGAGGGATGGAGGTTCAATTCAACTAAAACATAGTACAAACTTTCTTCTTACAGAAGTTCGTTTTGTCTGTTGCCATAGTCAATATTGCAGCTACTAAGCAGAAATTCAACTTGGAATAACTGCTTTTTTGGGTACTTGGAGGCAGCGGAAACCAGCTATAAACACAAGACTGACACATTATCTCCTTATAAGGTTGATACCAAACCTCAAATTCAACTTTGCATTAAGGACACCAACTTCAAATGGTTTTTGGTATTAATAATCAGAACCTAATATATTGTATGTTGCTCTGCCCTGCAACTTAAGTTATACAACTCATTAAAGCTTACCTTGCTGAATGCGAGGTCAGTTCCCTTTATTTAAAATTATTTTATTATTACTTCATTACCACCTTTGTTTCATATTCTTAACAGGACCATGTTTAAGACCAGGTGATTATAGCCACTTAAATGAACTTTCCTAGGGCAAGTGGCTGTGAAGAAGGCCTTGTTGCTAATTTAGAAATCTTTCAAGTACAGCCTTATTTCTGTTTCTGATTTATTTATTTTTTGATTCTTGTTTTAAGGTGATTTTGTTTTAAGGTGATTTTATTTTAAATGATGCTACCTCTCTGTATTGTTATCTATGCCCTTTTTTTTGTTACAGAATTGTTATCAACTGTTGTGCTTACATTTAGTAAGAGAAAATCATGATTGTTGATGGTTTTAACTTTCACACTGATAACAACTATTTTACTGAGTCTTACAGTTTGGTCCAGCCCACAACCATGGACACACTCTTGACTTAGTGTTTGCACTTGGTTTGTATCTAAACAGTCCCTCCATTGGAAATCTTACTCTCTCTGACCATATATGTATCTTGTTTGATAGAGTTCTCAAGAATACTATAAAACCCCAAAAGAGGAAAACACAGTTGTGTGTGTTTTCTTAAGGCTTTGCTTTGCTGGTCGGTTGCTGGAGAATTTAACTGTGTAACATATTCCTTAAGGTGTGAACAGACCCCTCAGATCTGCCAGTCTGGGTCTTCTCTAACTGTTCCAGACTCAAGGTTCAAAACAGAGGGTGATCGAGGTTTTGCTGTGTTGGCTCCTCGGCTCTGGAACAACCTTTCACTTAGCATCAGGTCGGCTGACACTGCCCCCTTTAAATCTCATCTTAAAACTAAATTTTACAGAATAGAGTTTCTTAACAACTGATATACTTTCTTTCTTATCACGACTTGGCCATTTTTATATACATCAATAATGATGATGATAATGATCAATCTATAAAGATATAATATTGATACTACTACTTCACTATGAGTGACCAACAGAGCACCTTTGTCACCCTGGAGTGTGGAGTTGGACCATAGCTTGGTGAAAGCAACATCATTTCAGTCTGCCAACTCACGTGGAATGGATTGTGAATGTTCATATATAAAGTATTGATGTTTGGTTTTGACCTTGTCACTCTCCACAAGGAAGCACCAATCTCAGCACAGCAGGAAGTGGAATCTCAGCAAAAGAGAAAGCAGAGCACCAATGGCTTTAATAACACCACCAGGGTTGAAAGGGCACATTGTACTTGTGTTGCAGTGAGAAAAGGCCATGTGAGGGTAGCGGCTTCATTAGTGGTGATCACAGAATTTAAAAAATTCAGCAACATCATGCATTACTAAAATCACTCTGACAATCCATAAAACACGCTGTCAACAGTTTCCATACGAACTGTTTCATTGGTAGTATTTCCAGTAAAAACAAGTCATTGAGGCCTGTGGATTATCTGGAGTAACAAGGACATGGTTTCTGGAAACAGATGCTGCTGCTGAATTGTCTTGCAATGGTTCAATGCTGGAAGCAACACAAACTAAATTCCATCTCCATTCTGCTGGAGGAGATGGATATCTCATAAGTTATCCAGAAAAAAACAAAACTATCTGCGTGTCTAGATACCACTAGTGAGAAAATATGTTGGGTTTTCTTCTTTTGTAATTTAGGTGAACAGACCCTTTAACCCCAACAGACATCTACATAAATGTTTTTCTGGCTTTCGGTCAATTAGACGATACAGATACTAATAAGAAAAGGCTCCAAACTTTCCCAAGTCCAGACTTATAAACCCACAAGTTCTCTGACAGGAGTGAATCGTGTAATAACTGCATGCATCAGTACCTGGGATTGCCACAAATAAGACCGACTGCTGCTGTTTGTAATTACAAACACCCACAAAGCCCAGATCAGAGGAGACTCCCAGCTCTGCCGAAATCCACAGACAACCCTCAGCCTAAGTCATTTGTAAGCCCCATGGTGCTGCCTCTCTGCTGTTAACCCCGCACTTTTACTGTTACTGCTCACTTCTCTCCTGAGCAACTTAAGACAGAGAGCAAGTCATATTATCCTGCATCTACTGTCCAAAACATACACAATGTACCCACCACAACTTCAGTTGCCACGTCTGTGCCGACCACAAGTCTTTACAGCTCTACTGAAAAGCACAATATCCCAACTCCCCAAAACCACAGTCACCTCAGAGAAAATTACCATTTTCTTTTTTTCTGCCTGTTCCAGTTTTCAGTAAAAGTACAGGGTGGGAAGAGCATGAAAGCCACACATTTGTTCTGCCTGTATGTCAGCATGGTGAAAAATTACATTATTGGTCTTGTAATTACATAATCATCTTTATGTTTGTGTGTGCACTCTGTGAGAGTAGAGGTTTGGAGCATTGTTACAAGAGAATGTGTGTGTGTGTGTGTGTGTGTGTAAAGTCTGCAGACAAAGAGCTGGCTGTATTATCATACATACTGTAGTATAGTGTAGTGTGGTTTGCCTGGAGACAGGGCTGTGTCTCTGGCTGGTTTCTTTGGGTTACCAGGGATCA